TTTCTTTCTTTCTTTCTTTCTTTCTTTCTTTCTTTCTTTCTTTCTTTCTTTCTTTCTTTCTTTCTTTCTTTCTTTCTTTCTTTCTCTTTCTTTCTTTCTTCTTTTCTTTCTTTCTGCCATGGGATGCTTGCACTTGGCCTGAGAGAGACAGAGAGGAAAAGCAAGAAATCGCCCCCTAGTGGGGATGGTCATACCACAGTCCCTTCTCCCCCATTTCCTCAGGATTTTGGGCACACGTGCACACATGTCTGGTGTGATTTTTAAGTCACTGGCTCTGGAACTCCCGTTGTGGTTGGCCACGTGACAGTCCAGTTCCGTAAGCACCACTACCATTTTGAGAAAGTTAAACTATAATATGTAGAGAGAGGAGATCTAAGAGTAGGCTAAAGATGCTGGTTTCGACGTGTTTGCGATCAAATCTTACTGAAAAATAAAGTTGAGTTCTCTGCTGTTACTGCTGTTGACACAATCTCGAGCTTGATAATGGAGAAAGCCCCTGAAAAAGAAGGGTCACTGGGGCTGAGTGCGGGCCTTTAATGGTGGGCAAGATTATGAGCTTGGCAGGAAATCCAACCTAGGTTCTTTGTTTATTTTAATTAAATTAATTAATTAATTTTAATTTGACCAGAGAGGGACAGAGAGAGAGAGAGAGAGAGAGAAAGAGAGAGAGAGAGAGGAAGTGAGAAAGTAAGCCACCAAGTCTAGGACTAGAACCATGGTTGGCCATGTGCAAGACCAGTGCCTTTAACCACCAAGCAACCTGCTGGCCCACCTATCCTGGATTCTAACCTAACTCTGCACTTAACTGCTGTATGACCCTGAGCAAGACTGGCTTGCATAACCCTCCTGATTCTGTTTCCTCATCTGCAAAATGCCAAAAATCATAATATCTTAATGGATTTTTTTTTAAAGACATGAATGAGGTATTATTTATGAGGGCCTGGTAATTAGTTCTTATAAATTACACCTGACACTAGCGAAAGACGGTTGAGAGTCCCTGACTTACTGACATAGTCCCAGGTGCATGATGACAGCAGAAGGTAGGTTCTAACAAGGGGGTGAGAGGGGTTGCAGGGAAAAAATAAGAGTGACAGAGACTTGAGTAAATTCCTACCTGAGAGGAAGGAGGGAGGAAGCAGCAGAGACGGAGGAGTCAACAGCAGGAAGGGTGGGAAAATGAGTGAGGGTCCCTGGGAAAAGAGTAGTCATGGCTGATCACAGTGGGTATTTCAGAAAAGGACTTGGAGGAACCAGCAGGTGGCATGGTGGCTAAGGTGCCAAATATTCCCACATGGCTGACCACTGTTCTAGTCCTGGACCTGGTGGCTTGATTTCTCACTTTCTCTCTCTGGTCAAATTAAAATAAATGAATGAATAAATAAAATTAAATAAATAATAATAATTTTTTTTTTAAAATAAGAAGACTCAGAAGCAGGACTTAGTGGCATATTTAGGAGTGTAATAAAGAGTAGAGAATGTGGCTTTGGAGGAGGCCATCAGGGTTCTAATCCCAGTCCCGTGATTTACTGTGAGGTCTCAAACAAGTTATCAAATCTCTTTGTGCCTCATTCATCTCTAAAAAATGTTGACTAAAGTTGCACATTTAAACAAAAATGGAATTAAAGTATGAGTTTATTTTGGTGCAAAAAAATTTAAATCCATGCATAGTTACTTATTTTTTATTTAAACAATGTTTCCCTTTCTTCGTGATTTGAGTGTATGCTTGAGAGTGAGAGAGAGAGAGAGAGAGAACGAGAGAGAGAGAGGAGGGGAGCACCCTGCGCAGGGTCTGGTCATGACACCGTTCTCCTCCCTGCGAGCCTGGGATTCACACAGGTATGTGGCATGTTTTCAGGCTAACTGGGTCTGGGACTTGAACCATGGTTGCCATGTGTGACCCTGCTTCTCCTGAACAGCATGTCACCACTGTACCACGGAGCTGGCCCTGCTTAGTTTTTCGTTGTGTGTGTGTATGTGTAGTTATGTACTTCTTGGAGACCCCCTTGTGCTTTATAATTTTTCACACACCTCTCAAATGTGAGGGGGTGACATTTTCAGTTATAAACCTATGTATTTTTTTGCCTGCCTCCATTTTGCCTTCCTCTATTCCCATTCCAGTAGCTGACCCTGGGTTCATGCCACCCTGGCGAAACGTGAGTCTGTAGGGTGACGTTCAGCTGGTGCCCATAAGTATAGCCACCCTAGCTGTTCATGGCTGGGGACTACTCTGATTGACCATTGTATCTGATCAGTCAGTGCTTGCCTTCTATTGGTTAATAAATACTTTGAGTATCAGAATATTTGTGACTGGGTGCTAGAATGTGTCTGAAGTCTTATGAGCCTGTTTCTCAATGCTTATGTCCTGATTTGGGAAGAAGGAAAAAGAAAGAGAATTAGAGGATGGAGGAAAAAAAAAAAATCTCCTGGCATCAAAATGAATGACGTGAGAGTAGAGAGTTTCTAGCCGGGGAGAGAAGCTGAGGAGAACAGTGGGGCTCCGGGTTCCTGAGGCAGAGAACCAGATTTAAAGAGTGATGTGGATCTAGTGAGTATCCATCAGCGGGATGGAGTGATGGGCCAATGGTCAAAGAGTCAGATTCCTTCTCATGCCTACCTCTGAAACACCTCAGTACTGTGTGAGATTCTAGACCCATGGTACAACTTTGTGTGTGGAGTGGTAGGATGAGGGGAGCCCAAAAAGGACTGAGATTAAGCTTCCCATTAGCCCAGTAGGATGGCAATCTGAAATTTTTTTTTTTTTTGCGAGATTTTCACTATAGGTCGCGTGCACTCGCCAGACAGACAGAGAGAGACATTAGAGACAGAAAGCGAGAAATCACCCCCCAGGGGGGATGGTCACGCCACAATCCCTTCTCCTCCATTCTCCTCTCAGGATCTTGGGCACGCACGCACACGCGCCCGGCGTGAGTTTTAAGCCACCGGTTCCGGGATGCGAACCGCGGTCGACTACGTGGGAGTCCAGCGACATAGCCATTACGCTAACTGCTGGTTCCCGCAATCTGAAATTTTGTCCTGAAAATAAAACATTTCTTCTGTACCTGAATATATGATCACAAGTCATATCTATGACCGTCTTTGAGATTTTTAGCCAGAGCTTCGTCCACTTGATAATTGCATTTGGAACTTCTTTTTCCAAAGAGAAATTTAGATGACTAGAATTAAATACTAGGAAAGAATTTGGGTAGTTTTGATAATAATAATCCTTTAAAGTGAAATATGTGTACCTTCTTGCTATGCCTAGCTATTAAGTAGTAACGGATACTCTAGAATTAGAAGAATTAAGAAAGAAAGAAATTCTGAGAGTCAGAAATTTGCTTCATGTGATGTAGAGGCCAGTGACAGAATTAACTACTAAGTTGAAGCACTGTTTCTCCTCCTTTCTACTCCTGTCCCTTCCCATATGATCTCCTTGTCGTCCACATTTTGCCCTATCCTGAATATGAAAGCAAGGTTGAAATAACTATAATGATTGTTCACATTTTTATTTATGGTTCTAACGCAGAACATTATTTATTTTACTCCATCAAGGCCAATAAACTCTGAGTTTATTTTTGAGATGAATATGCAAAAAACTTGGAAACTTGTGGAAAATCAACCTTGAACGTCCCTGGACACGATTCAGAGGCTGATTGAGGGAAAGGTTTTAGAAGATTGTCATGATCTGGCAAGGAGAAGCTGGGGAAATTGGCTTCAGGAAGTGGAAGAACTTCACCTTTCTCTAATGGAGGGAGTCGGTAAATATATCCAATTCGTCTCCAGTGGAATGGAAAGTGTCCTTTACCTGGCCCTCTTTCTTCTGAATGCCTATGTGGGGGGCCGTGGCCATGGTGATGGTGATCTTGGGAACCTTTGCTATGGGGTGGGGGGTCACAAGGTCCATAGTCATGGAAAGCATGACCATGGGGATAGTGGCCATGAGGACGGTGTCCATGGGGATGGTGTCCATGGGGACGGTGTCCATGAGGATGGTGTCCATGGGGATGGTGTCCATGGGGACGGTGTCCATGGGGATGGTGTCCATGGGGATTGTGCCCATGGGAATGGTGTTCACTGGAACTATGATTATGAGGGGGTCCTTGGGTTCTACCAATGCCAAATGGGGGATGATGACATCTTGACCCTGAAGGGGGCAACCTATCTGGATGATCTTTGTCTTCTGGGGGAGGTGGGCATCCAAATTTATGTGGTCTTGGAGGATGATGATCTCTGAATCCACCAGGCTTAAATGGAGGCTTGCTGACCCAAGAATGCTCATGCTCACCAGAGTGATGACGATGGCCCAGATGGGGTCGGACATCGCTGATGTTTCTGAATTCCTGGAGTGAATGTTATCATGGAAGACAAAAGGAGAATTCAGATATTTAACTAATTTAGATCAATGGCTCCCAGACTTTGGGATTCCATAATCAATATAAAAAGTAGGATATCGGGACCAGTAGATGGCATAATGGTTACACTGAACTCCCACGTAGTCACCTGCGGTTCTAGTCCTGGACCCAGTGGCTTAAACTCATGCCAGGCATGCATGTGTGTGTGCCCAGGATCCTGAGAGGACAATGGAGGAGAAGGGGTTGTGGTGTGGCCATCCCTCAAAAGGGTGATTTTTCTCACTTTCTCTCTGTCTCTTTCTGTCTCTCCAGCAAGCACATGCACTATATATATATATGTAAGATATCAAAAAGGGGTCCTTGAATTTTTATCTAGTCAAGTTCACAATGAAAATAAAATAAAACTATTACCTAGCACCATCATTGTTTCAGGAAAGAAATACTATTGTGACAGCAAACAAGTAAAATAATCTCAGAGTAGATGATGATCTTTAGATAGAATAAATGTTACATCATGAAAAACTTTCATTATTCTAAGTTTTCTCATTTCAACATAAAGTGGCGAAACTATGGTATGGAATGGCACCCATCTGTAGCCCAATATTTGGAAAACTTATGCCTTATAATGGATACTCTCAATGGAGTTCTGAGGCTTGATAATATAAACATTCTTACTCCTGAAGGATGGACCTCTTTACTCTCCTTGTTCAGACTTCATTTATTAAAAAACCATGTGGAGCCACATTCATGGTGACAAACCTGCCCTTTCTTTCTTTCTCTCTCTCTCTCCTTTCTTTCTTTCTCTCTTTCTTTCTTTCTTTCTTTCTTTCTTTCTTTCTTTCTTTCTTTCTTTCTTTCTTTCTTTCTTTCTCTTTCTTTCTTTCTCTTTCTTTCTTTCTTTCTTTCTTTCTTTCTTTCTTTCTTTCTTTCTTCTCTCTCTTTCTTTCTTTCTTTTTCTTTCTTTCTTTCTTTCTTTCTTTCTTCTTCCTCTTTCTTTGATTTGAGACATAGACTTAATTTTTTTTTTAGTTTTATGTTTTTGATTTGCCAATATAAAGCTAAAGTGAATAATATCTTTGGGCTTATCCATAAAGCTTTTGGAGATAAATGGAAAACATTGTTTTGTATTTTATTTTGTATACAGCAGACTTGAGGCTAAGTTATTTTTCTTAGGTTCTATGTTTAATTATAAAAGCTAAGAATTGTTAAGTCCTAGCACTGGAGTTCTGTCTACAGGACGATTTTCAAAATTTACTGAATTGGTCATAATTAGCTTTTCTGCCAACTCATACTCCTCCCCAGTTTTTGGAAAGCAAAATTCATACTTTTCGTGTCATATCAGCAATTGCACACCTTTCCCCAGAAGTCTGTATCTCCCCACCACGCACTCCTCACACACACACACACAACCACGATAACCAAATCACCAGGTGTGCGACTATATCACTCAGTCTAGTATTGCTCACAATAAAGGCCACTTAGGCAACCCACCTCCAGGTCAAAGACTTCACAGTCTATTATGAGGTTCTCTGGGGTTTCCAAGTCAGAGGCTTCTGCATCATAGATCAGATGTGCTCTGCAGAATCCGAAGACCTACAAAAGAGAGAGAGTGCTGTTACTGTGTGCGTGTGTGTGTGTCTGCATGTGTACATGCGTGTGCATGTGTGAGTGCATTTGTGTGTATATGTGTGTGCATGTGTACATGTGTGTGCATGTGTGTGCATGTGTACATGTGCGCACACATGTACAGGAAGCATGAAGGTGCCTAGCCAGAGTTGTGAACTTCTAAATATTCAGGAAAGGAAGACTTTTTAAAAAGCAAGGGTAATATTATTGGATAGCCTTGTCAGTTATGTAACCATCTTTCCTAGCCTACACTTTGTGTAAGCTCCAAAGGGTTTCATTCCAAGTTGTCGTGGTTCTGGTCCGCGAGCAGGTACAGCCCTGGGCCTCCCCATGGGTGGTGTGAGGAGTATCTCCGTGCAACAAGCCATTGCTGCCTTGCATTTAGGCTGCCTTTACACCCTGAAAGCCCGAGCTGCCTGTGCCTAGAGAAAAGTGGGATGGTGTAAAGAGGGATTTGCGTAAGTGGCACTTAGAGAAAAGCCTTGGAAATGAGACAGCCAGTATAAGATGAATTTGCATGGGCCCTGCAAAATGGGTGAGTGCTGGTCCCTCCCTAAGAATGACAGCTGTAGCTGGCTACCATGCCTGTGTTCCAGCGGCCCACTAACCCAACTGTCTAAGTTAGCCTAGGACAGGGTGACTTTTCTTCCAGAGAGACTGTCAAGCATTGAAGTTTCGAGTACAGTTTTGGAGTTGGACAGGTCTATGTTGATCCTGGCTTCACCATTTAGTAGTGATGTGACTTTAGGCAAGTGACACAAAATTGCTGAAACTCAGTTACCATTAAATGGGCAAAATACCATCCATCCACAGGCTGTGGGAGGGCCTAATTAAATGAAATACTGCTATAAAATACTTAGCACTGAGCATTCTTTTCTCCAGCTGCTATGGCTCTTCAACACAAAGATAGCTAAAAGTTTCTGGGGGAAGGAGGTAGAGAAGAGACCTGTCTTTTCCACTGGCCACTGAGCAAGATTCTACCAATGGAACAGGTTCAGATAGAAACTTTGAACAACCAGAAAAGGAACCTCGTCCTGTCCAGCCAGGGAGAGTGGATTGTTAAATGTTAGAAAAATTCTGGACTTGAAATCAGAATTAAACTTGGATGCTCTAACATTGTCTAGCTAAGGTGCCGTAGGCCAACGGATAAAATTCTTGGCCTGATTGGGAACTGAGCCAAACGCTCGCTTCTTCGCAGAGGGGTTATCAAGAGACAGCAACATATGCGGAAATATTTTATAAAATGTAAGTCACCCTGCGAGTGCTGGTGTTATTGATAAGACCTTCTGCACGTATGTGAGTACTAACTTGTAAATAATTGCTAGAAAAATCCCATTAGACTGAGCATGTGAAGAACTGGATTCTAATCTCAGTTCATCTGTGAACACTGGCCAGACCCTTCACCTACTAAGCCCTTCACCTTCTCACTTGTCAAATGGGATCCAGGAGGGTGTTAATGAAATGGCTTGAATGAAATCACTTGATGTGGAGGGTTGTCATACGAGCTGGTTATTAGAGTTATTGGGTCACCGGAACAGTCGTGATTTTTTTAACGTCCTAGTAACTAAGCCTTTCATCCTGATAGATTTACAAGTTCGGTTTTAAGATGAGGTATTTATCACGCATATTATAAAATCATATTTTCATGATTCACTTATCTTCTCGATGCCTAAGTTTCCCCATCCGGAAATAGGAAATGAAACTATTAGGCTGTCTGGAAAGTCATGCCATATTTTTCTATGGTTTTCTGTGCAAAAGTGTGTCGTGACTTTCCAGACAGCCCAATGGTCTCTCCCTCGTAGGATGGTGCGAGGGGTGATAAGTTAACGTATGTGTAAAGTACTTAGAACAGTGGCAGATAAAAAGTGCCTCTAGACAATATTCAGTTTTCCACAGACATTGTTATACTCACCCTAGGGTATCTGGGGAAACGGTGCTTAGAGCAGTTCCTCACGGAGAAGTCCACATAGTAACCAGTTCTTTCTCCTCCTCTCTGAACAAATGGGTTCAAAATAGTTGCAGAAAAAGAAATAATTTTATTTATTATTATTATTTTTTGGAGAAATTTTTGCTATAGGGTACGTGCGCTTGCCAGAAAGACAGTGAGAGACAGAGAGACAGAAAGTGAGAAATCACCCCCCAGGGGAGATGGTCACGCTGTAATCCCTTCTCCTCCATTCTCCTCTCGGGATCTTGGGCACGCACGCACATGCTCCCGGCATGAGTTTAAGCCACCGGGTCTGGGACGCGAACCATGGTCAACTACGTGGGAGTCCAGCAACATAGCCATTACGCTAACTGCTGGTCCCAAGATTGGATGATTTTTAATGACTCCTATAATCCTAATATGCTGTCTTTCCCTCTTTTCTTTTTGACTTTGTCCCTCATCTCTATCAAACATCCACTCTCTCATTTCCACCTACACACCCTCCAGAAAATTAAAAAAAAATATATTAGCATGAGAGCAATACTTCGGTGCCTGCTATTTGTCTATCATAGCCCCAGAGGCTGCACCAGGGGCTTTAGTTAAAAGGGAAGTCGAAACAAGCAAGCAAAGAGCGTGCATGGCTCAGTTCGCCCCTGGCAGGTTGACGCCTGCGCTCGTGGACTAGAGGCCGACAGCGGGGGCACTCACCGCTCTTATGACTCTCTCTACTTGGTCCACTCTGAAAGAAGCAAAATCACTATTCTCCTTTTTGTATTTCTCAAGGGCTTCGTTGGCTTTTTTTCTGTAGGGTTCAGTATTCTCAAAGAAATCGAAGAGCACAGGGCTGTCTTTGGTATTGGTTAGTGCTGGAGAGACTAAAGAAAGATGACTGTCACAATATGGGTCAGACACAGCCAAGTCAGTGCTGGGACTCGTACGTGCAAGTATGGTGGCGAGAGCAGCAATAATTTCCATTTCACAGATGAGCACACTGAGGACTGGAGATGCTAAGTAAGTTGATTGTTCGAGATCAATTAGCCGAATTAGCAGCGGAGTTACACGGCTAGTCCTTCCTTTCCTTCTGATCTTTCTTTTTTTAAAAAAAATTTCATTCATTCATTAATTTATATACATTCAATCACATTGCTTAGCTGACGAAGTGAACATTTCTGTATGTGAACATTTCTCCCCAGTCCAGTCGATCAAAAGGAGGGATACAGAGGCAGAGCATTGACGGGGTGGGGAGGTGTGGTGTTACCCTTCTGATCTTTCTGATGCCCAGGTTTCTGCGGTGGCCTCTCTGCCCCCACCTCAGATGCCTTCACACTAGCTCCATAAAATGCCAATATTTTAATGAACTCTTCCTGCCTTTGCCAAGGAGAGAAAGATGTTACCAGGAAGAGACCCTTAAGTGTTTTCATTCTTTCTTTAAAGGGACACAAAAATAAAAAATGAACTTTGATGATAGTGTGTATGATAGTATCAGGTCCTCTGGAAAGTTCTGACATATTTTTCTATGTTATTTCTATGCAAAAACGTGTCGTGACTTTCCTGATGACCCAATATCTTTAACTGGAATAGCCAGTGTATTCATGCTGGGAAAATCCATTTTGCAAGCTGTAATGATATACAGTGATTGTATAAAACAATTTTTTCACTTAAAAAAATTAAAAAGAGAAAGGGATCCTTTCTGACAAGTACATCAGACATTAAATAATGAATACCCCTGTATGCTTGAGTTCTAGATTAACCTAGACTTAATTAGCAGTCTGACAGATTACCATACCAGAACTTGTGGTGCAGTTGTAGTCAATCAGGCTCAGATCTTGAGATTCATTGGAATGTCTTATAGCTATCACCTTACATTGTCCAATCACCTGTAAGAAAGAGGGTTTGAGTCATTGCCTACTATCTCCCTCAGACATGACGGAACAAAAAAGGTGATACAACATACTCCTACTAAGTATTCAAAATGTATTTGGAGTTTCCTTCATCAAATCCTGTCTCACAGTCTGTATTTTCTTACTCTGCTTCTCTCTGCTGCGTACTATGGGCACCTACAATCCTCATAAGAACCAGAGAAAAACTCTAAATGGATCATGACTATATCCCAAATGTTTTAAAGGGATAAAAATACTAAAATTCCTAGTTGTGTAACCTCTTACTGTCTAGTAGTGAAATATTTGTTCATTTTTAATCTCTCCACCCTCCAGATGCAGAGAGCCCGGTATCTGAGGATCCACGCTTAATGTGCAGAACAAGACATCATTTCTCACTGCAACCCATGCCGTTGGCCAAGTTTATTAATGGAACCAGTCTTCTCAGGACACAATTACACAGCGAGTTCACAGACTCAGACCCACAGACCATCAGGGCTGGAACGGATCTTAGAGTCCGTCTACTCCAACCTCTCCTTCATTATGTGCTTAAGGAGACTGGAATCTAGGGATATTAGGTAATCTGTCCAAGGCCTCCAAGCTGGCCATGCTAGCCTGTGAGACCACAAACCCTGCTGCCTGATCTTGAACTGAATTCTCAGTAACAGCTCTCAAGACAGTCTTACTCAAGGGCAGCATAGTCTTCATGGATCTCAAGGCAAAAGTTGCTCTTACTCTCTCCAGGGTTAGCCCAAGCATGTGACTCCCAGGCGTAAGCAGAGAAGATGGAAAGTAAGAATGGTGAGAGGAGGTTATGGTAGCCTGGGTACTTACTATTTCGGACGGACGTCTAGAATAAGCCAGTTTACAGTCATCCCAGTGTTTCCTGGATAGGACCGAACAGTCAGATTCTTTCACTTCTAAGACCAAATAATAGACAGTTGCAGAATCCTGAGGAATGCCAAGAAAGCAACAAGTGAGTAACATGTGGGAGCCCAGAGGTTGTGTTTTTATTATTATTAAAAGTAGCCTCTTTACTTATGAAACAGAATTCCTCCTCCTCTCCAAATCTTTGCAATGATCCTAACTTTGTATCATTTGACCTATTTGTTTGAATAAATAGCTATCAAGAGTTAGTTACACATTTTTTTTTGAGAGGTTTTTGCTATAGGGTGTGTGCACTTGCCAGAAAGACAGAGAGAGACAGAGAGACAGAAAGCAAGAAATCACACACACACACACACACACACACCCGGGGGAAGGCCACACTGCAATCCCTTCTCCTCCATTCTCCGATCTTGGGCACACACTCACATGTGCCTGGCATGAGTTTAAGCCATCGGGTCCGGGATGCAAATCGCGGTCGACTATGTGGGAGTTCAGTGACATAGCTGTACGCTAACTGCTGGTCCCTAGTTACACATTTTTTAAAAAATTGGTCATGTTTCTTCTGCTCATGAGCATTAAAATGAATTCACTAAATGACAGTATTGGTTTGGGTGTAGGTGTTGATGGTATATACTTGGAATTATAAAGGATAAAAATCACATTATAATCTCCAATCTACATTTGCAGTGTTTCTTACCCAGTTCTATCCTAGAAATTGAATTTTCTGCCTTGATGTGTCAATTTGTCCAACACTAAATCCATTCCCTTCTCTTACAAACCAGCTACCTCTCTCAACTTCCCTTGATAATTAATAACATCAATAAACTTATTGCCTTATGCTCTAGTTTTAAAAATGTAAATTTTAATTTTTAAAATTAATTTTTAAAACTATTACTCATACATGAAATCACTATACATCACTTAGATTGTGAAGAGACTTTATCCAGCATAATATAATTTTTTTTTGAGAGGTTTTTGCTATAGGATGCGTGCATTCACCAGATAGACAGAGAGAGATAGAGAGACAGAAAGCGAGAAATCACCCCCCAGGGGGGGTGGCCACACCACAATCCCTTCTCCTCCATTTTCCTCTCGGGATCTTGGGCACGTATGCACACGCGCCTGGCGTGAGTTTTAAGCCACCGGGTCCAGGACGTGAACCGCGGTCGACTACGTGGGAGTCCAGTGACATAGCCATTACGCTAACTGCTGGTCCCTCAGCATAATATAATTTTGATGTCTTCTTTTTCTGTTTTTGCCATCCCGTCCACAGGCCACGGATGGCCTTTCTTTCGGAATGTCTTTCCTGTCTATTTCTCATTCTAATGCCTTCATTTCCATGATCTAGATACAGGAACTAGCACCCCAATTCATGGCTATCACCTGCTTTCATCTCCTCAGGCAACACTGTATCCTTTCCCCTCCCGTCCACTCTGCCACCTCTCAGAGATGACACTGTGCCATTCACCTTGTGTCTTGTACGTGTGATGGAGAGCCTAGAGTGAGACAAGTGGTCAGTAACTTGCTGGTTGAATCCTAAATCCCTGTATTTCTGTGCTCTGCAACCAGCAGTGCCCTTCTCTGCAATACTTTAGCAAGGGAGTCACTCTGCTCGTCTTCATCATGCCGCATGATCTGGCCTCTCTGATTCCAGTGTTCCAGCAAAGGGAGAACAGTTTACTTTTCAGGAGAAGAGAGAGGGCTTCAACAGCCCTCCATAATCTCTATCAGCCCCTCAAATATACTGTAAATAAGCATATAATTGAAGTGAAAACAGTCAGCTTGCTTGGCTTAGAGATAATTCCATTCTCTCTTCCAACCCGATGGCTGTTCCAGAGGCACACTGAACTTCTAGACTCTTCCCCCGCCCCCATGTATGGTCAATTACTCCCTAACACCCTCCTTTCTGAATCCCTACCCACATAGTGATTGTGTGCCTAGAATTCACCTGAAATGCCTTTATTCAGGTTACTCAAATCCTACCCATTCTTCAAGCTCCAACTGAAGCCTTCTCCCATCTGATCTCAATAGATCTCCTTGCGTTAAATTGTTTCAGAGTTTATATCACGTACTTGGTCACTGGAATATATCCTATTGTCACAGTATGCCTATGGATGTCAACATATTATTATTATTATTTTCTTGAGGGCAAGGCCCACAGTTTATTCTAATTTTTTTGGTAATACTTAGCATTTGCCTGGGGTCAGCATAAATGATTTTAAGTCCTTACCGATTGATAATAATTATTATATTTATATTTATAATCATATTATAACAAACATAGGTTGAAGAGAAGAAAAATAATCTAGAGTAGCCTCGCAAATGAAACGGAAGACCCTAACAAATCCATGCATTGTGCAAAGCGGTAAGCTTAGGGGCTACAGTCAGATGGCCCTCGAGCGTGGCCTCCCAGCTCAGCTCTACCACTGGCGATTCCTCACCGCTTTGTCCAAGTGGGCGTCAGCGACCCGCCACAGCTCGAAAAGGTAGCCATTCCGTCGCCCTTTATTGATCAGGTCTAGAGCCTTCTCAGCCACAGGCTCAGTAGCATCGCAGTCCGTGGGACTCAGAGCACATGAATACTGCAGTGTGATCAACAGCAGGGCTGCAGTGAGCACCTTCATTTTGCTAAAGCATTCCTGGGTCTGGCCTACCACAACAGAGAACTTTATACAGACTTCCTGAAGCACACACACAACTGGTATGCTGTAATGATACACACGATTGAACAAAGTCTTTATACACTGTTGTTGTGTAACTGAGGATGTTAACCTTGATCCCTGGTTCAAATATCTGTCAACAGGCTGTAAATGATTAGCAAGTCCTGAGGACAGAAAAACTGAGACTTGCCAGCAGTGAGTGGGTGAAACTGATCTGCACAGATCTGGATATTTCTAGTAGGTAGTTGACCCAAAGTGTGTTTCTGACAAAGGCACTGCCTACATTGAGTGTGTGTAGGGTTAGGGGGAACTAAGAGTGAAATAATTTTCCATCCTGTCTGCCTTGGTTGTCAATATCCGTCATCTATCCCCTCGTTGGATTATGACACTTAAATTGCTGTTAAACAAAAATTATGGGAGCCCATTGTTTTGGAATGAGCTCCTGCAATAGGCCCCACCAGACCAGAATAAATCAAAATGGAGTCACTCATGCTAAATGCCACATAATCGAACTGAAGCTTTAAATAAATTTAGATAAATTTCAACATAGGCCAGCTTTTCCTGAAAAAAGAAGATTTCAGTCTACCTCAGTCAGTATAATAAGGAAGTTCCCTTTGACTCAACCCTTTTAAAACAGTAACCTGAAGGTAACCAATTAGCTTTTTTCTCTAAGGATCTGTTTCCACCTCACAAAACTCACTGTTCTGCTATTGCCCAATGGGAGCTCTCATCCTTAATTAATCACAAATAAAAGCCAATTCGATTTGTAATTAAATGTGTTGCCATTTGACACTCCTCACGAGAATGGAACTGCATTATCTAAGGGAGGTAACATTTTGAACAGTCAATATCATGAAAGGAACTGACTTCAGATGAAATGGAATGAATATGAAGCTGTTACTGGGGGAATCAGATCTGAATTTCCAACTCTGCTGTCGTACTTTCTTTCTGTGTGACACTGGGTAAAACCACAGAGAACTTCTCTCATTGATGAGGTGTGCATTAATACCTCTTGGCTGGCTCGCATGATAATTAATTCTTGACACATATTTGGTGCTTAATAAATGTGTTAATTATTATTATTAGTGTGGCTGAGAAGAATTTGGGGTGCCCCATGTTATCTCAGTTCTTGGTGTCCTTCAAAGCATGCCACAAAGAATTGGTTCATGTGGAAGAGGACAGTGGTGAGAGCAGGAGTCAAGCAACTAGACGCCCATCCTGCTGTGGGAGGGGTTCAGCCATAGGGACAGGACTGGGATACATTTGACTCCCTATTTCCAACCCTCTGAAGAAACCATACACCTATGTGGAACCTTAATACCAGCAGAGGCCCACGGCATCAGAAAGGACCAGAGAACTCAGCATATGTTCCCTCCCACTGCCAAGAAGCAGTTGTTCTCTTAGGCAGCACCTCCCTTCCTTCCTGTTCTCTCACTACAGTGGATTTACAGTGATGGTTCTCAGTCTCGGCTTCATAATGAAATTACCCAAGGAGCTTTACAAAGCCCTGACGTCCAGGACTCCCTCCAATATAATTAAATCAGAATCTCTGGGGATAGACCAGGTACTGGTAATTTGGAAACTCCCAGGTAATTCCAATGCACAGTCAAGGCTGAGAACCACTGGGAGGCTAGACAGAACTGAAGGGAAGAAAGAATCCAAAGAGTGAAATGACAAGGGAAAGTATGTGAACAATAGACTTTCAAGAGTTACCGATGGTTTAGTGAGCACTAAATGTGGAAAAAATATGTTTTGAATAATGTCTGAGATTTGAACTTTATTTTTTTTCCCAAAGCCAAACTGTATCCAGTTTTATTAAAGATATTTTTCATAAACAATCATGGTATTTCAGGCAGGACATGGGCAGACAATCATTAACAGTATACGACAACTTTCAAACTCACTTCTTCAGTGGACTACCAGAATCAGAAAGCCACTATAAAACCCAATGAAGTCTTCATCTGATGCTCTGAACAGGAAAAGTTTAGAGCGAGGGTTGACATTTCACATTTAGCATGTTGTTTAACATCTTTTCATGAGCTGGCCCTGACTTTCGGGAAATGAAAATGGCAGAATTATCAACCTGAAGATCCAAGAATATGGAAAAGGAAGTGCTGCTCCTTTGAAGGACGCCATCTCAATGCCATTGGGAAGTCCAGGTTGCCTGATGCCCTAGTATAACTAATTTCCTATGGTCAGGTCCCACAGGTCTCTGGTGTGAGGGAGCTAAGTCTATGCTGAAAACAGAGAGGGAGAGGACATAAAAGCAAATGTTGAGTTTTCCAGAGCACCAGGCATCTGTGCCAAGATGGCAGTGTGTGTCAGGGAATCCCTCCTCTCGGGAGCCAAGAGGAGTCTCCCAAAACTAAAAGGGAACGATGTTGTCCAAATCAATCCAGCTTCAGAGACATTCTATTAGTGATAAATGCCCCTTCCCCCCAAAAAACAATCAAGTGTTCTGTGTGCTAACAACATAGCTTTAAAAAAAAATAGTATTTCAAACTGCACAGTCACCAGAAGGACACAGTTACCAAACATGCACACACTTTGCTTGGCATCTCCAGCACCTTCAGCTTCCTGTGCCTGGTCTGTTTTGGCACCTCCATTTTCTGCAGGGTTATTCCCATCCTTGCCAACATCAGCTTTTTCCCTTTTTCCTTTGGGTACCTTCTCTCCCTTCTTTGCAGGGCCCTTTTGAGGCTCTGGCTTTGGAGGAGCAGGTTTCGCAGACAACCTTGCAGATCTCCTCTGTGGTTCACCCTTCACCTTGACTGTATCTCCTTTAGCCTCCCCTTCAGCCCTTCTCCTGGGCATGGTTGCAACCATGGCAGGACGAAGGTGCTGGACACGGAGGATGCAGCAGTGTTCAGGCTTTGGTCAGTCCGGGGGTCTCTCGCCTCTTCACACTGTTCTGAGATTTGAACTTTTAATGTCAGCAATATTGGCTTTCAGGTACCTAATGGGACTACTCCTGTGTATCTCAGAATGACAGGAACCGTATGGAATCTGCTCAAGGAGTTGTTAGGTTCTCGCAGGAGGACGGGGAAAGCTAATGATTAAAGAAAAGCTTTTATGTTATGTTTCAGTGACTTGAGACTCTACTTAAGCCTTGTTATCTTGGCCACCCCCAACATGGAGTGCCCAGGGTATAACAAATGCTGGTGTAGGGGAAGGGAGGGGCATGTTGAGGGATGGGAAGAGGCACTAAGAATGAGAATATGCTTTTCCTGTCTTACTATTTTGCTGAGCCTTATGAGTCAGTCTGTGAGAGCCATGCATCCTTCCCCTTGCTGTACTGAATCCTAAAGACAGGTATACAGTGCACATGATGCCATTCCTGTAAGTGAGGGGGCTCCAGGTGACACATTTTAAGGAGCATAGTGAAGGTGCTGGGTGGGGATGGCAGGAGGAGGCACAATGATGGCAAGTAGGAAAAACATTCTGTCCTGAAGAACTGTCTGATCTAAGAAATGACATTGGCTTTGGGAAAGGTTCCAACTGGCTTTGCAGAAGCTCCCTGGAGAGTCTGGAACCAAGAATGGCCTCAGAAGTGAAGATGAGAGGAGAGTGATGACTTTTCACAAGACAGTATCCAGGGCAGAATTGGGTAGATAGATTTTCACCTCCCCATTCTCGTTCTGGCATAGAGTTCTTTTCGGGTGTCCTGATCATATTATAGTATGCTCTCTGTTTGTTCTTTGCTGTTTGTTTGTTTTTATTGCTAGAGGGCATGTGCACTCACCAGAGAGACAAAGTGAAGGCACCCAAATGGGATCTGGTCATACGGCAATCCTTATGCTTCCATTTCTCCTTCCTGTCAGGATTTGGGGCATACATACACATGTGGCTGAGACTTGAGCCAGAGTTGGCCTTGTGAGATCTGGTTCCCTAAGCATGGGGCTTAACTGCTACACTACAGGGCTGGGCCCAGAATTTTTATTCTTTAAAGTTACTTTTACTCCTAATAAAAACCTTTTGCAAAAATGTGAAAATATAAAAAGCACTAGGGACCAGCAGTTAGCGTAATGGCTATGTCGCTGGACTCCCACGTAGTTGACCCATGGTTCGAGTCCCGGACCCGGTGGCTTAAACTCACGCCGGGTGCGTGTGCATGTGTGCCCAAGATCCCGAGAGGAGAATGGAGGAGAAGGGATTGCGGCGTGGCCATCCCCCCTGGGGGGTGATTTCTCGCTTTCTGTCTCTCTGTCTCTCTCTGTCTGTCTGGCGAGCGCATGCGCCCTATAGCAAAAACCTCTCCAAAAAGTATATATATATATAAAAAGCACTTTAAAATTTTACTTCTAATTTCACAAGTATAAGAAAAATAAACTATTTATAATATATAATTTATTCATAGGCATTTTCTATTTTAATATGTATTATATATTTTGCATGATTGGACATATTCTATATATACAGGTAGTATATATAGAATAAATAGAGTAAAGAGACAACCTTCAGAACAGGAGAAAATATGTGTGGCTGTGTATTTATTTACTTATAACTTATTTGTTTCAGGTATTAATAAAAGATACAAAAGTCTTATAGATGTCTGTATTTTTTTGTAGGATTTTTTAAAATTTAAGTTATTTTAAGTATACCATTTTTGTCATAAACATAACCACTACACAAAGAAAACACATCATCAGAATTTTACAGAATATTATAAAATAAAAATGAAACCTCTTTTTTTCATCTACCAATGACCAAACACTTTCTGAAGAAAAGAATTTTTAAAACACTTTCTGAATCAGCACATAATAATTGTACATATTTATGGTATAAAATATGTAGTGATCAAATTAGGGTAATTAGCATATTTGTCATCTCAGATGTTTATAATTTCTTTGTGTTGAGAACATTAAAATATTTTCTTCAACCTATTTTGAAATATACAATATATTATTGTTAACTATAGTCATTCTATTATGGGATGGAACACTGTAACTTATTCCTTCTATTTAACTGTAACTATTACTTATCAGGCAAACTCTTCTCATGTCCTTCTTCCCACTATCCTTCCAAGCTTCTAGTAACCACCATTCTAGTCTCTACT